TGCAGAGACATAGTAAGTAGAGGTTAAATTGCTTAGTCTCCTATCCATCAGGGTATCTTGTGGCAGCCCTAATTTAACCGTAGATATAAAAACAGATGATGAATGCCTTGCACCATAAATATTCCTTTTTTTAAAGTCATGTTTGTCACAAATGACTCATTTTCTTCATTTGGATTTCTAAATAATGCACAACTTGTTTGCAAAATCGGATCATATATCAGCATATTAGAGAGGCTTTTGTTTTTCATTTTAGTATTTCCTAGTTCCATTTAGAATTTTGTTAGATTTTACTTATGCAGCAACTCATAGCAAACCAGTAGATAAATAAGGTATTTGTAATTCAAGAGATGATTCAAATGAAGACAGGATTATCTTGGGATTATTCACTCTAAACGTGAATTCTCAAAGGCTTATAATTTCTTCAAACATTACTGTGGTTAAAATATATTTTGGATTTCATTCCAATGGGCTCAGTTATCTGACAAGAACAGCAGCATATTAAATCTTTGCATAACACATTTTTGAAATGCTTGCATATTAGTCACTAAGCAGTTATTAAATTTTGCTTTTAACCTACCAGTTTTCTAAATCTTCTCCCCACAGCTTGATCCCCACAGAGAATATAGTAACTCAAACAAAAATTTTTCTGTTTACTGCAATAGCTATTTACTTATCTGTGCACCAGGTTGAGAAATTATGGCACAAGGATTCATGTATTTGCCCATAGAGTATTTTGCATAGACATTGACTTGAATTTTCATTTATATTTTCAATTCATTAAAGGATTATACATTTTGACCCACTTACAAACTAAATGACATAGTAGAAAACAGAGCATGATTTTTCCACTTGCTATTTAACTGATGTTGACAAGTCACTTTAAACTCTCTAAACTCCATTTAGCTTATTTGTAAGTGGGTATAAAAATACTGCCTGCTAGAACAAATGACAGAATGTTAAAGTGCTGTGACGACTGTAAAATTTTATATAACTGTAAAATATTTTATATATTATTATGTTACTTTTATAAGAATGAAAACCAGCTGGTTATTTCCCCATCATGCCTACTATAAAAAGAGAAAATGACAGAGAAATACTGTTTTAGAGTGGTCTGAGAGTTTGTTATGAAAGGTTTCAAATTTAAGAAAAATTTTCCTAACAACTAAAATATTATAGATTAAAGCTAAAATTCAGAGGCAATCTAATCTAGCCACTTTAGTTCTACATATAAGGAAAGAAAGACTCAAGAAGGCTAAATATTACAACATACAAACAAACAATATAAATGGTGGTAGAATGGGAAGAACTAAATAAATTTTAAATGTTCCAATTTGTTTGTGGGTTATTCTTGGCTAGAGTTATAATAAAAGGGTAGAATTAGAGTTAGTGGCAGGAGCAGGTTCAGAGTTTGAGTTAAAGTTCTTGCCAGATTATAGCATTTTAGTAAGTTACTTTTTAGCCAATTAAAAAATAAAAATGATGACTATGAGAACACATAAATGGTCTTGTATTAAGCACTCTAAGAAACAGATGTCTACACAAATCTATCTATCAATATAATGTATATTTACATACAATCAGTTTATTCATCCTTACAACTTAATTATCCTTTCTTTACAGGTAAAGAAACCAAGGCAAAAGTTTAAGGAAGTTGAGAAAGATCGCACAACGTGTACTAAGTGACTGTGTCAAGCTTTCAGCCAAGATTGGCCGTTGGGCATTTTAAAATTTACTTTTTTGATGAATGGGTGTCAAATGCTTTTACTGTATCAATTGATATGGTCATGTGATGTTTCTTTTTTTTTAACCTATTGATGTGATGGATTACATTAATAGATTTTTAAATTTCGAAATCAGCCTTGCAAACCTGGGTTCAATGCCTCCTAAGTTTTTCATTACCATATAGTTTGAGCTCTTTAATTGCCGTGGAAATATTTTTTAAAAGAACTTTATGCTTTTGTGATTACTTAGCTTTACAAATTCTGATGTGTTCACATTGATGAGAAGGAAAAGAGTGCATAGGACAGTATTTGACAGAAAAAGTAGAGAATGGGAAGAATTTGTTACCAAAGCTTAACTTGAAAATGTCATAAAATTACTAGTATGAGTCCATTATTTTTGAACTTAATATTTTGGACCAATTTTTATGATATTAGAAAGTGAGATGTAACTGGTTTAGTACCAGCTATGTCTTAAAAACGCACTTTCCATACGATCCATTCTTTCTATTTTAGAGTCTTAAAATACTCAGCAATAAAGTTTAATGCAATATTCTAAGTAATAAAATATGCACTTTCCCTAGAAATATGAGAACACATGATCATTCAAAGACTTGTGCATGGATGTTCACATTAGCTTCATTTGTAGTAGCCCCAAACAGAAAACAAACCCGAAGTCTATTAACAGATGAATGGATAAACCCTGGTAAACTTATGTAATCTAATTCTACTCAGCAATTAAAAGGAATGATGTTACAACACAAACAAGTACCAGACTGTAAGATTTCATTCATGTAAAATTATAAGAAATACTCATATATAGTTTCAGAAAGAGATCAGTGGTTGACTGGAGAGGATGACCAAGAATGTCAGGAGGAAGGAACTAAAAAGAGGCATGAGAAAAAATTGGGGATGATTGAAGTGTTCATTACTTTAGTTGTGGAGATGGTTTTAAAGGTGTAACTATGTCAATACAATAAAGTATACATATATGAAAAGCATATTAAAATATTTTATATTAAGTTTCTTCTTTGTTGTTATTAAAGGCAACAAAGTAAATACTTTGCAGGTATTACATATTATAGTAGTAAATCGCATAAAGATCAAATTATACAATATATAATTATATATTCCACAACAGAGATGTATAGAGTGAAAATAAATTAAAAATGTACTGTGACAGTTTGAAGTTATCTTTATTAACAAAAGTTGTTAACCAAAAATACCTGGAGATGCTGAAAGTCACAAGACATACAAACTCCAAGACAGGTTACTTTTTTTGTGTGTCCATTAGTTCATAGTTCCTAAGTGACTAAAAACACTATGGGATTATTATATACAACCAAACTAAAGTATGTGTGTTAATGTACTTGGAATATGATAAAAATGAACTATATATAAGATACTACTATTTCACTGTTATAAAACAAAACAGACTATTTTTCTAAACATAAACATTATACATAGCTACATTCCATATGTAACTGCAGTGCAATAATTTATTTTCTCTTTTAAAAGAGGTTGGTTAACATTTTCTAAAAAAATAGCAAAGTATTATAGACTATAAAAATATTGAGTATGTATACATGTTCTTTGTTTTCAGAAAATTATTAAACAAAATCAGAGACTGAACATACAGAAGTAATAAAACATGGCATTAAAATGTCATTGAATGAGACTACATCACAATGAAAAGTTTTTGCATAGCAAAGGAAACGAACAAAATGAAAAACAACCCACTGAATGGGAGAATACATTCACCAATGATACATCTGATAAGGGATTAATATTCAAACTTTATAAAGAACTTATAAAACTCAACATCAAAAAAGCAAACAATCCAATTTAAAAAATGCTCAAAGGACGTCAATAGACACTTCTCCAAAGAGGACATATAGATGGCCAATAGACATATGAAAAGATGCTCAACGTCACTAATCATCAGATAAATGCAATTAAAAATCACAATGAGACATCATTCCCCACCTGTCGGAATAGCTATTATCAATAAACAAACAAGTATTAGGATGTGGAAAAGAGAAAACCCTTGTTCACGGTTTGTAGGAATGCAGATGGGTGCAACCACTGTGGAAAACAGTATGGAATTACCACAAAAAATAAAAATGGAACTGCCTTACGACCCAGTGATTCCACTTCTGATAATTTACCCAAAGAAACAAAAAACACTATATCGAGGAAGAATATATACACCATTATGTTCATTGCAGCATTATTTACAACTAGAGGCCTGATGCATGAAATTCATGCACAGAGATGGGGGTGGAGGGTTTCCTCAGCCCAACGTGCACTCTCTTGCAATTTGGGACACCTCGAGGGATGTCCAACTGCCAATTTAGGCCAAATCCCTCTCACAATTCGGGACCGCTGGCTCCTAACCACTAATCTGCCTGCCTGATTGCCCCTAAGCACTCACCTGCCTGATTGCCCCTAACCACTCTGCCTCCTGCCTGATACCCCTAACCACTTTGCCTTCCTGCCTGATGCCCCTAACCACTTGCCTGCCTGCCTGATCACCCCTAGCCACTCACCTGCCTGCCTGATCACCCCTAACCAATCACCTGCCTGCCTGATAACCCCTAACTGGTTGCCTGCCTCCCTAATCATCCCTGACTGCCTCTGCCTTCCTAACCACTCTGCCTGCCTGATCATCCAGAACTGCCTCTGCCTCAGCCCCTACAGCCCCCTATCCTTGTCTGGAAGGATATCTGAAATGATGTCTGGAAGGTCATTTGGCTGTCCAGTCTAATTAGCATATTATGCTTTTATTTTTATAGATAGCCAAGATTTGGAAGCAGCTCAAGTGTTCATCAAGAAATGAGTGGATAAAACAGCTATGGTACATTCAGATAATGGAATACTACCCAGCCATAAAAAGGAAGAAAATGTACCCTTTGTGACAACATAGACAGAAGTGGAGAACATGCTAAGTGAAATAAGCCAGTCAGAGAAAGACAAAGACTATAAGATTTCATGCATATATGGAATTTAATGAACAAACTGAATTAACAAGCAAAATAGAGACAGAATCATAGTAGAGAGCGCACAGAGAGCTCTGATGGGAAGGGGGATTCAAGGGGGGTGGAAAGATTGAGCAAAAAAGTGAAAGGACTCCTTGAACATGGACAACACTGTAGTGACTGTGAGAGTGGAGGAGGGTGGGTGGAGATAGAAGAGGGAACAGGGGGGATAAATGGTGATGGCAAATAAAACAAAATAATTTAAAATAAAATGTCATCATGGAAACCTCTAAAATGCTATTACCTGGAATCAGTTCCATAATGATGTAGATCGGCTGTCTCTGTGTGCAAACTCCTATAAGTTTGACAATATTGGGATGATCATATTGCTTAAGAATTCTGGATGAGAAAAGAATAAGAATAATTATTTAAATATGTATGCATTAACCTATGATCATAAGTAATGTACACAAATAGAATATACTTTAATCAATATAACTCATTTTTTAAAACTTCAGTGTGAATCGAAATTGTGATAAATAGGATATATGCAAATTTTGATAAATCTTGGCAAAATATAGGTACAAATCAGTCCATTACCCTTAATTCCATTAAATATTCACTTAAAATTATCATTCACTCTGAATGACTAACAACCATGCTAAGTAGAAATAACTTACTTAGTCCAAAACATTTAGAACTCTCTTCCAAATATCCGGACTTAGCCACCACAACAAAAGCATAGCTGAAAAGCATGAGTGAACTCAAAACTGTAAGCTTCTAGGGTAGCATCTTTTTGTTTTGCTCTATGTACACACTTGATTTGAAATATATAAAAATAAGAATCTAATTCATGTTGATAAGCACCATTGGGTAATCCTTTCATTAAATTTTTATAATCAGAACTTTCTCGCTGACCATAATCAATTTCAAAATAGTAGGAACTCGAAAGTTTTGAGAAAGCTGTCAAAGGTTAAACAATAACTGAGTAAGAGAGTTTCAATATCAAGTTAAGCTGAAGCAGAGAATACTTAGTTTGGATAAGGCAAAATTTCAGAAGGTTATAAAATAGCACAGACTCCTAGCTCGAGTTAAATGTAGATTAGATTTCCCCAGAGGCCTGTGTACCCTGGTGATTTCTATTACCAAATTGTACTCCACATTATCCTATTGACATAGTTATAAGCTCACTTATATTTCAAAGATGCAGTTTTCTTGCCTAAGAGAATGAAAAAATAACTTCATTTGGAGAAAGATAAAACAATTTATATAATTGTTTATATTTAGTTGTACATGTACAACTAAAGCAAGATACCTGTAAAAAAAACTGTATATTGAAAATATAGAATGATTTATAAATGAAAAAATAAACTTGGGAAGAATTCTACAAATAAGAGAAATATTCTGACAATAACTGAGTTTGCAACTTCTACAAAGAATTAAAAAGTTTTAAAATGTTTGACTTTAACTCAAAAAGTCATTTCTGAAGCTGGAAATTGCTTAGTAAAGAAATTCCAAAAAACAGCCAGCCTGAATTCCTATAATATTTAAATAGCTAAATATAGAGCTCTATTATCTATTAAAGCACACTTAAAAGTTTTTACATGGATATAATTTTTATTTTTTTAATATATTTTATTGATTTCACAGAGAGGAAGGGAGAGGAATAGAGAGTTAGAAATATTGGTGAGAGAGAAACATTGATCAGCTGCCTCCTGCAAGTCCCCTACTGGGGAATCAAGCCTGCAACCAAGGTACATGCCCTTGAGCAGAATCAAAGCCAGGACTCTTCAGTCCGAAGGCTGACATTCTATCCACTGAGCCTACTTGGTCAGAGCTATAATTTTTATTTTTAAAATAAGACAAGCTCATTCTAAAAAAGCAAGCTAAACTCTATTTTGCGAAAAACAATCACAAATTAGAAAAACAAAAAAAGTAAACATTTTTGAAAATGTTGGATATAACTTATACTATAAGAATACTTATGAATATCTATAAAATAATAAATGTATGAATTTAAAACCTTTAAATTTATTAGAGTCTTTTTTTCTGAATTGCCAATACACATCAAATAGGGTTTCAACTTTCTTCTGTAGTTCAACAAATGCATCACACCAGTTTACTCCTTTGCTATCAATACTCATTTTCAGATAAATGGAGAAATGTACATGAAAGTGCTCCCTGCCATGGGACTTAGTTCACTCATTACCATATTCCCTCATTTGCATGTCCTCTGTTCTCCATGACACTTTACAAAAACTTCAATTTTATACACTAGAATATGATGGAAACACACATACCCCCAACTCACACACATCTCTGCCTCCCTCCCTTTAGACCAGGGGTGAGGAACGTTAGGCCCTCACCATCATTTGGTCTGGTCCTGCTAAGGCATGAGGGGTAAATTAATTAAATGTTTGATCAATATAGCAGGCTAATTTTTAAGTTGATAATTTTGTATGGCTCGAGAATGAGGTTATAAATATTCAAATAGCTACTGGCAGAAAAAAAGTTCCCCACCCCTTCTTCACACCAACAATCTATAGATCCACCCATTTTCCTCCTCTCTCATTCATCCATCCATCTCTCAAAGGTAAGTCTATCCTCACTCTGTCCAAAGCACCTTTCAATTTGTTTTGTGCTTCATTGTATAAACTAGATGTTATAATTAACCGAATGGTTTTAACTATCTGCAATAGAGGTAGCAAATTGGAACATTAAATTTTAGCTAATAAAGGAAAATAGCAATCATCTTTAAAAAATCAATTAGAGCCGAGACCAGTTTGGCTCAATGGATAGAGCATCGGCTTGGGGACTGAAAGGTCCTGGGTTCAATTCTGGTCAGGGGCATGTACCTTGGTTGTGGGCATATCCCCAGTAGGGGGTGTGCAAGAGGCAGCTGATCGATGACTCTCTCTCATCGATGTTTCTAACTCTCTATCTCTCTCCCTTTCTCTCTGTACAAAATCAATAAAATAAAAATAAAAAAATCAATTAGAAAAGAAACAATATGCAAATTCCAGAACAAATGCCAGACACTAAATTAAAGAAGGCATATGAGGTTCTTAGAAAACTAACAGATAGAAAAAACAAAAGAATTAAATGATAATATCTAAGTAAGGTATGGGAGATGAAATTATATATCTAAATATTTATGTAAATTATGTCTTGTATGTAGAATGTAGTAATATTTTTATTATAAGGAAAATCACAACTCTATATGTGTGTGTGTGTGTGTGTGTGCGCGCGCGCGTACGTGTGATGAAAGCAAAAAACTGCAATTTTTTTCAAAGACTTGCAGAATACTCACTGTTTGGTAGCACCTGGTTCTTATCACTCTGCTTACCTAACTGACCCATAGTCTCACTCAAACAGAAACCTTCTGATTCCACATTGTATAAGTGCTTACTTTTGGATGAGGGCTCTGAAAGTATTTATTTCCACTTCAACAAATCATAATTTATGATATCTTCAAACTTACATTTCAGTGAGTCACTTATATTATAAATACACACGATATAACTTTAAAGAACTCACTTGGCTTCTTGTAAAAATTTCATTTTCAGTTCCTGAGGAAGATCTTCTTTACATGTTTTAACAGCAACAGCAGTTTTATCCTTTAATATGCCTTTAAATACTTCACCAAAATTTCCCTGAAAATGCAAATATATTCATTGTTTGAGATGTAAGACAGCCACATAAATCTTCACAAAATACAAAAAAAGCATGTAATGCTGCATTTTGAGTTAAAGCATCAGCATTATTCAGAGTTTGAAGTGGAAATCAAGATTGGGAATGTTGCTTTTACCAATGCTCTCAACTTTAAGTATGCTACTCAACACACCAAATATTTGGGGACAATTGAAAAATGAAAATAGGAAAATTTTTCAAGAAAATAAAACAAAAGGAGAAACTCAAATGTAACACTGTCAGAAATATCTGAGTTTCATTACATCCAATTTGCTTTACCTGCAATTTATGAAATTTAAAAAATTACCTATTAATGATTAAAGATAAAGCAGATATTTTGCAAGGTTCCTATTGGTATAGAGCCACACAGCCATATTGTCAGTTGGAAAGGAGTGAGAGTAAGAGACAAAGGCAGAGACAACAGAACTATTATAGGAAGATGGGCTATCAGCCACTGTTCTAGGTTGTCAGTCTTTAGAAGGTACCAAGAAAGAGGAGGTTCTTATCCAAATGTCCATGTCACTGGTGATGAATACATTTTCTGTCAAAAGTATGAACTCCTAACCCTACTTTATGGCAAAAACGTATTTTGACTTAAGAGGCCTAATTTTCAGTTTGAAGTCATTTTTTTCTTTTATTATAAACACAAAACATTACAGAGAAGACCTATAAGGCTAACAAAACAATTATTTTTTAGTATTCTCTTCAGGTTTTTCTACATGTGCTTATATGTTTTTACAAAGCTATAGTAATAATAATATGCAAGCATTATAGATATTATAAGCTTCAATACTATTCTGGCTGAGCAAGTAGCTGAAGTAGGAATCTACTTTATTGAGTTTTCCGAGTTCTAAGGCCCATGTAACTCTTACTAATAAATATTTAACATTAAAAAACAAAATATTTTTAACATTGTATTACTTAATATTTTACTTAATTTTAAAATTAGTTTACTCACACTTTAATATACTTAAATATTATAAGTTGTTACTGAATCTAATATTCAACTCTTATTTATTTAAAAACAATGATTCATTATAAATTCAGCATAATATATATTTATCATGTTAAAAAAAGAAAAATTTGAGTTTTTATATCTTTCCATGTTTGTTATTCTCAAGATTCTTCTCCCCCACCCCCATTATCAGATCATTAATATATCATAGATAGAGCTGAGAGAAGATATTAATATACACAATTACTGCTGGGCCTCTACTTATCTGAATGATTCTGAAGCACTTATAATTTAACTTGGCTAAAACTTAACATTTTTCTCATTAGACTTTTCTTAACTAATTTACCTTTTTCATTTACTAGGACTATCATTCATTCTCTCTGCAAGTATTCAGATTCTACCTCTGCCATATTTGTGTCTTCCTCCTTACATCTCAGAAAGGCCACCCTGATTCAAAATCTTAAGTTTCTCACCTACACTGATCTGTCACTCACCCCTTTCAACAATAAAGAATTATATTTTAAAAAATGCAATTATTGAACAGCATTAAGGAGAACACAAATCTCCTTAATGCTGTTCAATAATCATATTATAATTCTGTAGAAAATTCACACTCTCATTCTTCTAAATGGCTTTTCCCCTTCTTCTCTCTTAAGTCCCCTACTCTTCCTCCCTCCATCCTTATTCTTAGCTAATAATCTTGCTCATTAGTACATTGAGAAAACTGAAGCAATCTACTAATAAAGAGAAATTCCAGGCTCTCAGCCCTACATTTACCCATCTATCAATCTTCCTTGGTGTTATAAAAATGAACTATTGTGTTTTTATTGAAGTCTCCATTGTAAATTAAATTTACTCTTTTTAAAATATATATATTTTTATTGACTTTTCACAGAGAGGGAGAGAGAGAGAACTAGAAACATGGATGAGAGAGAATCATCGATCAGCTGCCTCTTGCACACACCCCCTGGGGATGTGCCTGCAACCAAGGCACATGCCCCTGACCGGAATCGAACCTGGGACCTTTCAGTCCGCAGACCGACGCTCTATCCACTGAGTCAAACCGGTTTCAGCTATATTTACTCTTTATCTACTCAATGTCATTACTCTACCAATTCTCAAATCATAAATTTGTCACTAGATCATTCCCAACTGCAAACCAGTATGCCTACAAGGCACTACCTTCACCAACTCACTGACATCCTGTCCTATCATATTCCTTCTTGTTTACTCAGTTACAGCCAAATGATCTCCCTTGCTCTTCAAATAAAATTTTCACTGGTTACTGCCTCTGTCTAGAACCCTCTTCAGTAGAAGCCCACATGGCTAAATCCCTCATCTCCAAGTTTTAATTTGAAAGTAACAATTTTAATTAGGCTTACCCAAATTTCACTTTTAAAAATGGCAACTTATACTTATAGCACACTCCTAAACCCAGAATTTTCCATAGGACTCAGCATCCTTTAACATTATAAAATTTACTATTTACTATGTTTATTGTTTATCAGCCTTCCCCTGCTAGACAGAATAAAAGCTCCAAAAGGGCATTGTTTACTGAGGATTTGAGGATTAAGTAAAATATTTATTGAACACCAATTATACATAAAAAACAGTCTAGAAAGAGTATAGTACTCAAAAAATTAGAATTCTTGTCTCAACCTTATATTACCACTAATATACAGTACATTATAAGTATTTGTACAGAATTGGCAATGAAAATATTAAATAACAAATCATTTTCTATTTACAGTATTAGGCTGAAATGAAGCTAAATCATTATCATTGAAGTTGCAGTCTGTTATTAACATGACTAAGTATTTTTGAAATTAACATCATGCTACTGCCTTATCACTGAGAAAAATAACTATTCTTTGAAATACCCTTATTAAGAAAATAGAGGTTAAAATTCCTCCTGATATACACTATTATTTCACTATTCAACAAAACATAAAAGTAATTGAAATATTGTTTTTTCCCCAAGTATCGATACTAAAAAAAATCTGTCCCCTTCAACACATGATATTTCAGTAAGTGATTTAATTTGACTATTTTTAATTATATTTTCATGGAAATTTATTTAATTTCTTTGTAATGATTTTTGGTCCAATTAGTACAACTGAGTTATTGATCTAAAGTAATAGAAAGAATATTTCCTTAAGAATGACAAAGGAAATAAACACATCACCTAATGCTTTTAGCTTGAAATGCTTTAGAAATTACTTACTAAATAAGTAATTGCAGTCAATAAAACCTGCTAGCCAGGAGTATTTCATGATTCCATTTTGAAAAGGGATTTTAAAATACTAATAAGAACCCAGTGAAGTAGGGTTCTTATTAGTATTTACTTTTTTAACAGGAATTTACTTTTTTTTAACAGGAATTTACTTTTTTAAAATATATAACAGTTAAAAAATAGGAAACATTTGGTCAAGTCATCATGCTTACATTTAAAAAAAATGTAATGAATAATCATTTTTCATTTAACATGCTGAGCTTTAAGTCTAATACTGATAACTCAGAAATGCATCAATGATAATTTTCACAAAATATCTTGAGTTTACTTTTTTTCACATTACATTGTGAAACTAAATTAAAAATATTTAATGGAAACACTTTTAATTAAGCCATTGACAAAGAAGATAACTTTACCATTGGTACTCAATTATAAATAAACAATAAATTTGCAAGTAGTCCATTTGATTATCAAATGTTTGCTATTATTGTTAGATATAATACTTTTAAATGGCCTATGAATTGAAACTTCCAACTAGATTGAAAGAAAGGGAGTTCTAACCAATAATAGAGATAGCTACAAAATGAATCTTTATTCTGAAATATGTGTCTTGCTCATACAATATTTAGATAAAATAACATTTCCAATGGTGTTATATACTATGATTCTAGAGTTTTAAAATCCCTAAGAGCAGAATTTACATTTTCTGATTACACATGATAGTTATTAAAAGTAAAAGATCATCTTTAAACCTTTCAAAGGTTTTCACACATCTATTTCAGTGACCATCTCATATGTGCTACTGTGCTCTTCCAGTTAATGTGGAAGGTGCCTTGTTGTGTGCTAGAACCTAAGAAGGGCTGGAGGAAAATTAAAGACTCTAGAGAGTTCGCAATTATTATAAAGACTGTCAGTTATTTACCTCACTTGATTACATACCTTGCCCAGTAATTCACCCAATGTGACATCTTCATGACTGAGAACCCATTTCTTATCCTATGGCAAAGGGGAAAAAAAAGAAAAAGAAAAAAAAAAAGACAGTTTTTTAGCCCAACTAAGATTACATTTCCTGTAAGATGCACTTGAGATATTAGGAAACAGATCGAAGGGGACACTTCAGTCAAACCACTAAATCTACAGCACATTAATAAGTTGTAACATCAGGAGGCTATAAAACAGATCTAAGATATGTTACTACGCAAGATATGTTAAAAATCTACATTATATAGCAAACTTCCATCAGAAATCTTTAAATGGTGGTGTCCCTGTAACTAGAATATAGCATGCACTTTTCTCTCCCCATAAAGCTTAGACTGTCATTTCAAAAGAGCTGTGTCATCAGTACATGAGAGAATTTCATTTGATAATACAAAACTTCCAATTTTCTCTTGATCATAGAAAATTCCTGTACCCAAACCACATTACTAAGAATTAATTCTTCCACATATAAACTGGCCATGAGTTATAGCTGTTAATGACATTGCATGTAGTCCCATATCTTGCCTAAGTATTATACTTTCCTGAAGTGTAATAAACAAAACTTGGGTACATAAGACCAGTGATGCAACCCATTATCTAATTATGACTTAGGAAACAGTTTATCATCTTAAAAATCTCATAATAAATCACATAATGCCATAATGTTATAAAGGAATACAGATTTAAAAAAGGGAAATGAAGCAAGGGAAAGAAAAGGGAAGAGAGAAAGAAAAGAAGGGACAGAATAATTGAGTTATGCAGGGAAGAGTCAGAGAAGGAAAAGAAAATCCTGGAGTGATATATTTTATTCAGGATATTTTAAAATATATTTTATTGATTTTTTTACAGAGAGGAAGAGAGAGGGACAGAGAGTTAGAAACATCGATGAGAGAGAATCATCGATCAGCTGCCTCTTGCACACCCCCTACTGGGGATGTGCCCGCAACCAAGGTACATGCCCTTGACCGGAATCGAACCCGGGACCTTTCAGTCCCCATGCCGACGCTCTATCCATTGAGCCAAACCGGTTTCGGCCCAGGATTTGTTTTTAATTAAGGTTAAAATGTAGTATTCCCCAATTATGCATGTTGAAATGTAATTATGATCTATAGAATGAGTTGAAATAAGTAAATAAGTATCTTGAAGTAAAAAGCCACCCTACTTATGGCTTAAAAAGTCCTAGACAGCCATTTGAAGTATTTTACCATCAGAAACACCATATGACAAACACACAAACACCACCTTCTGTTAGATCAACTGATTTCAAAACAAAACAATTTACATGTACAGTATTTCAATCTAAATTCAAAATTAAAGCTATAAAGGACCTGAAAGAAAACATAGAGGAATATCTTCACAACTATGTGAGTAGACAAAGATTTTGATAGACACAAAAAGCACTAACTATAAAATAAATAATTGGAATTCATCAAAATTAGAAACACTTGTTCTTTAAAAGGCATCACTTTTTTTTAAAATGAAAAGGTAAACTATAATCTGAGAGAACAATGATTTTGTATGTACAACATATAGAGAATTTATGAGATGACAACAACCCGATTTTAAGAAATAAGGGTGGAGGTGGGTATAAGAGAGCAACCAAAGGACTTATATGCATGCATATAAACATAACCAAGGTCACAGACAATAGGGGGGGTGAGTGCATGTGCTGGGGGGGGGGAGGGGGTGGGAACGGCCGGGGATAGGTTAATGGGGGGATAAGGAGACTTATGTAATACTTTCAACAATAAAGATTTTTTTTTAAAAGAAATTGGGTAAAAAAAATTTTAAGAAAATAGATAATAAGCATATAAAAATATTTTTAACATCATCATTAGTCTTCAGTGACATACAAATACAAATCACAATCAGATGCTATTCCATACATATTAGAATACTAAAATTAAAAAGATTAAATGATGCCACATGTTTGCAAGAATACAGAAAAAGTGAAGTCCTCATACACTGTTAGTATGTAAAATGGTACAAGCCATTCTGAAAGACAATATATGACTACTTTATGATTCAGAAATTACACTCCTAGGTATAAACCCAAGAGAAATGAAAATATAAATCCACAAAAAGACATAAAAAATGTTTGAGGCAGATCTATTTATAATAGCCAAAAACTAGAAAAAATTTCAATGTCCAGCAAAACCAGAACTGACAAGTTTTTGTATATTCAGACAATTAATTACTATTCAGCAATGAATAGCAATTTACTAGGGATACAGACAACAGCAGAGCACTTGCAAAACTCTTTTCCATGGTCACAAAAGTATTTAAGTGAGAGTTGAGACAAGAACCTCAATCTTTTGTCTCCTATTACAGTGCTTAGCTTTTATTGTGCTAAAGAGACCAAAGAACATTGCATTTAAAATAAAACTGAATACAATAATTTTTTTGAATCTAAATTATATATATATATATATATATATACATATGTGTGTGTGTGTGTGTATACACACACACACACACATATATATGTATAAATCATCTCGGGTAACTAAAAGAAGGATAGAACATCTATAACCTGAATAAATACCATGCAATTTTTACAAATTCTTTAAGATTTCCAGAGTCCTTCAGCTGAAATTGGAGCATGCTCAAGGACATGCATTTTTTTCTTAGATATTAATCTATGGCGTTACTCTTTGATACATTGAGCGCTATGTTTCTAGAAAGCCAATTCATGCCAAACGCTAAAGTTGAAGAATTTCATATATGTAAAGTCTCATTTAGGTCTATAACTGGTATATTTAATATAAAAATAGATTCCGAAATGTTTTCATTGAATTACAGAATTGAAAGATCAATGAAGCAACTGTGAGAGTTGAATCACCTTGAGCTAAGAACATATGGGCTTGAGGTAACTCAGACAGAGAAATATGTGAATTCTGCCAAGAGCACACCTTGCATCTTCAGTAACTCAACTCCTCCCAAACATCTCTATGGCAGGCAATAAGATTGATTACAACTTGCCTACTTCCCAGAACCTCCACCTATTCTCTAAAGACACTGGACATAATAGTCCAAGTCCCCATTTAGAAGTCTCTATTGCGAGTATAGGTCATTTATTAACATGGGTTTTAATTACAATTTAAAAATATGGTTGTCATGGCAACATTTTCCACTCAAGATTTTAGGATAGGTCAAGTTAATTTGTATTCTGTTACAGAAAATCTTGTGGCTTCCATAGTTGGATTAGAAGATACTGCAGCCCTAGCAGTGGATAGAATGTCAGCCTTCAGACTCAAGGGTCCCAGGTTTGATTCCAGTCAAAGGCATGTAAAAAAAAAAAAATGTGGAAAATATAGGACTTTAAAGTTAAAAAAAAACAAAACAAAACAAAACAAACAAACAAAAAAAAAACCTCAGTAAATGAACTGGTAAAGTGAAGATAACAGAAGAAAGAACTTTTGAACTTGAGGACAAATCAAGATAATTTACCTAAATTAAACAACAAACAGAAACTAGACTGGACAGAAAATTAAACAACCTCAGAGACCCCTGGGATAATAGCAAAAGATCCAACGTCTGTACCATCATGGTCCCCGAAGAAGAGGCGAAAAGAGAGATGCTGAAAGGCCATTTAAAGACACAATGGCTAAAAACTTCCCAAACATATAAGACACAAACATACAAATTGAGGAAACTGAGATAACTTTACATAGGGTAAATCCAAAAACCCAAGCTAAAACATATAAAAGTTAATCAGAAAATTAAAGCCAAAGAAAAGTCTTGGCAGCAGCCAGAGAGAAGTGACACACCTACAGGAGATCACCAATTAAAGGATTTCTACTCTGAAACTATGGAGTCCAGATCAAAGTGGCACAATATTTTTCAAGTGTTTAAAGAACTGTCAACTGACACTACATGTGGCAAAAATATTTTTTTAGGAATGAAGGGAAAATAGTGCTACATGAAGGAAATCTAAAAGGATGTGCTCAAAAATAAACCTAAAAATAGTTCTAATATTTTCTCCCTATACCTCAATAAATTGTTTTGTGTATTCCAGTTACTCTAAAAGGGTTGACACTGGAATCAGAAGGTTAATTATGAGAGAAAAGCCATAATAAAAGTGGTTTGTGGGACAATGACACCTTGGTTATCTTTCACAGCAACTGTGAGGAAAAGGTTAGCAGACATGTCCATGTCACCCTATTTATATTCATCTTCAGAGTCATGATGATATGCCTTAGACAAATAAAAAATTAAGATGCTAGAATGTCCAAAAGTTACTCAGTAATGCTATTCCACATGCCTGATGTGAGGAGTCTAGATGAACATGTCAGCATGTTTAAAGTAAACATGAAGAATGAGGCTGTGCACCTGGTACCCGGTTTGGAGGTCATTACCATGGCTGGTCACGTGAAAGGTTATGTGATCAGCAACCTGTGAGAACTCTGGACTCCAAGACTCAAATATGACTTCCTTAGCAATGACATAGCACAAATGTTTGCAGAAAGTAGGTGGAAAGACGTGTCCACACAATTCCTACATAAACAGGGCAAGGAAGTCTGTGCTTGACCTCTCCTTGGCTGCTCCTGCTGTTCTGGCAGGTATACTATGCTAGAATAAATCTTAGCCTTGAGTATAACTTTAATGTGATTCTTTCCAGTGAATCGGTGAGCTAGTGGGTGATTGTGGGACCAACACTCCAAGGGCCTTGAGGTTCTGAGAGAGGTTACTCAGGCAGCAAGTGGCAGAACCAGTGTCTGAACCCACTTCTTCCTGACTCTGAAGACTGTGTCCTTTCTAATTACAGTGCCTCCCAAAATAGAATAATTTAAAGTGATGCATATGACTCAAGTTCAGAGACTGACTGTCATGCAACTGTCAGTTTTAATTAACTGGAAGAAAATGGGTTGTAGCACTTTATTTCAAATTTCCAAGTCTAATCCTAAAAATTTTTCACTTCTTACAGTTTATACTTTGTTTTATATGGTTATATTTTTTATACTTTGTTTTCAGCCAATTATTGCTATGTTAATCAATTATAGATTGTGCTTCACTCA